CTGCGGCCCCCTCCCCCCTTTTCCGCCGTCCCCTTGTTCCAGCGGCCGCGTTCGAAACCAGTCATTCCCGCGCAGGACGGCCAAGCCGGGGTCAAACCGCGCCGGCTTGTTATTTTAACAAGGCGATCGCCGGAGCGTTGCGAGGCAAAGCGAGTGGCAATGGGAGGATATGGATCTCGTGATACGAAAAGAAGAAAGAAGAAAAACACAAAAGCAAAAAAAAATTCCAACGGGGTCAGGGGATGTAGAATAAATAAAAATAGGGAAGATACAGGGGACACAATCATCGTAAAACAAAGCCGGCTTGAAGGGCCGCCAGGGTTTCAAAGGCCGTCCACCGCCATCCAGCGGGCAGACAGACGAAAGCGGATATCGGGCGAGCGGGGTGGGGCAGGGCCGCCTGACCACTGGGTGGCGGTCGCGGGCCGGGTGCCGTTTGAAGGGTGACATGGCCCAGCCTTTGGTTTGATGCGGCTCCGCGAGGCTCGCGAGGCTCCGCCAACTTTTCATGGCGCCCGTTTCTCCAGAAAGGGAAGGGCTTTTCCCTCGATAGCCTCCCACTCCACCGCTCCCCCGATTTTTTTATTTAAGTATTCATATTCCGAAGACGGGGGCGGCGACGCACTGCGTCTCCCAGCCGTGTCATGCCTTGTTGCGTTGGAGCGAAAACACAAGGCAGGAAGGCGGAGACCACCTCCTCCTTCCTTACGGGAAAATTGACAGTGGGCGAAGAACGGTGGAGGCGGAAAAAATCAAGGCGCCAGGTCCAGAGTCGCTACACGGGACTCGAACGTAACGTATGAATGGATTTCTAGTCCGGATGGCAATCCATTGGTGGGTCACACGTTCGACTTTTCTAGTCCCATTCAGCGGCAATAGGGCTGAAACAGCGTTGAGAATTGTGGCCAACTGTGCCTCGTGGTCCTGTAGGGCTGTGCGTGTGCGACAGCCGCACAACATAGTGTATGTCGCATGCGAACGCAGGGGAGATACGCTGGTCCGAACGGCGACCCGCCGCTTCTGCTCTTGTTGTTTAGGTTGAAGTTGTTGTTTTGTGGAGGCGATTTTCCCAATTAGGCCGCGTGTTACTCGCGTGTCGGCGACCCGATACTGCCATGTTTGGCCGATGGCCGCGGAGGCCCGTTGGGCCCGCTAGGCCTGCTGGGCCCGGACGAGCAAGCGTGTCTGGCAACGGTCAAAGCGAAGCGAGAACACCGTTACAACCGACCCCCCGATATTAGTCCCCTTCTCAGGTTTCGGTTTTCCAATTTCCTCCCCGCCCATTACGACCGTTATGCTGAGGTGATGCATCATGGTAAAACTTGAATGAATACGGCAAAAAAATCACACAAGATTTTAAAAAGAATTTTGTTTTGGTTGTATTAGAATTTTTTTTAAAAGCAGTTGGTTTATAACAAGTTTTCGGCAGTCAATCTGCTGGCGGTAGTCACAAAGTGAAAGGACACGGGGGGATGAATAAGTGAAAGGACCTTCGGCAGGCTGTGCCGGCTCGGCAGGGGAGGCCTCGGGCGGCACCAACCCCAATCACACTGTCGATCAAGTGAACACGGAGCAGCCTTTAATCCGTCATTAGAGGCCGATTACGCCGCCCCGCCACGCCACGCCCACGCAACGCCACGCTGCAGGCCTCGGCGGCACGGCCTCCCTCAGACAAAGCCCTCCCCCTTCCCTCCGCCTTCCCACCGCCTCCCACGTCCGCCACACCGCACGGCCCACGCCGCGGGCTGACAGCCGACAGCCGCCAGACTCCACGCCACGCCACGCCACGCCCCACCACCTCATCGCCGGCCGCCCCGCCACCCGCCACGACCCACCCCGTCGTGACGGGCTCAACGAGCCGAGTGGCGCGGCGAAGGCCAAGAAGGCCGTCCGCGTGGACCAAAGTTCAAACGGTTCCAATTCCTGCGAGCAACTACTCGGCCTCTGGACTTCACTGGCGCGCGCTACAAACGGCGTTCCGGTGGCCCTCAAGACTGCCCCCGAGGCTGCCGTAGCCGTCACAACCACACGACAAGAGCGACACTGACGCCGCCAGGGCCAATGACTTCTTGCTGCCTTGCCGACTGCGTTGACCACTGTTAATAAGGTGCGGGTAGACCCCCAGCAGCAGGGACTTGATGAGCTCCAGCCGAGGCTCCAGCCGACATGCGGACCGTTAATAACGTACGATGAGCTGGGCGCGGGGGGCAGGAGGGGTAAGAACGCGCTCAGGCCGAGGGCATGGCGATGTAACAAGCTGGCCTGCCACCCCGGGCGATGCGGCTTCTGCTGCAGTGAACACGGCCGATGAGCGACGGGAGGCAACGTGTGGGTGTCTTGGGGTGTGTGAGTGTACGTGTGTGAGCGCGCGCGCATGTGTGTGTTTTCCGCGAGCGGGTCGTAATCAAGCCATCTACGCCTCCGCCCCGGACAGCGGATTGGACATCGCAGCACTGGAGGTACACAACAAACAGGGGTTCCGATGCACCCCGGCGTGGTCGATATGCACAGTGACGTCCGCAGAGGCCTTTGCGATACGAGGCCGATGGGCGCTCGGCAGGTGGACAAGCTGCTATACAGTGGGCCAGAAGACCGGCGCAGGCGGCCGGAGCTCTAGACGCGTTTTGAGCTTTATAGTCACTAAACATAACTCGGATCGATCGTGTGACACCACCAATGGATTCCTCGTTTGAAGAGCAATCGATTGGTGATCACACCTTCGGTTCAAGGCCTATTTAGCGACCCTGGAGCCTTGACCGCCTTCACCGGTCTACTAGCCCACTGTGCATCCTTCGTCGTCGTCGAACCGGGACTGTCGAAGTCGGAGTCAAAGAAAGGAACATCGCGCGTCGGTTCCTGCTGTCGGTTGAAAAATGAGGGGGAAGGGGTGCGAGAAAATACAACAGAAAGAAGTAACCTAGAGACACAAAGGACGGCCGTCACGCTGCAGCGGGAAGGGGGTCGCTGCGTCCTCGTCGCACTCGGGAAAGAGGGGACTGGGCCAAAACACTTCCTTGACGAGATCAAGTCCGTCGCTTTCCTGGCTGCAAAATTGTTTTTCTTTGAGCGTCACGGTTTTCCCCCGCCCCTTTGCTGCTCTCCGTCTTCGGCCGTGCGTCGAGTCGACGGCGCGCTTTGTGGAATAAAGACATGCCGCATCTGTCGGCGTCAGGCGGGGAAAAACAAATACCATTCATCGTCGCGACCGTCCTCATCCTGGAGTGACTTTATGTCGTAAAAAACGAAAAGGAAATTCTCTTGGGCACGTTCGCGCGAGTACTTTCTGCGAGTGCAACTTTTCTGAGTCATGTTTCGGGTTTGGCTTTCTTGAGCAAAGAAAAGCGCAGTAGCGGATCCATGGGAAGCACCGCCCCGAAGAGATTAGCGTCATGCATCACAGAACAACAACGTCTCAGACGGAGTAGGCTCCTGTCTGTCAGCCAGTGGGCTGGGCCCACCCGCCAAGGCCTGTGTGGCCCTGCACGCCAGAGACAAGGCCGATGAAACTGAGGAGGATAGGGGAGCGGCCAAGTCACGGCCAATGAGAGACGGGGAACCGCCGAACGGCTCAGAGCGATCAAGAACCTCTCTTTGGCAGACGTGACACGCCAAGAATGTCTGCACGTCTACACGGACAACAACAACGATACCGTCTAGTGGGCTAGAAGACCGGTGGAAGCAACCAACATCCTAGACGCGATAAAGCACCCTGACTTCAACAAAGGTTGCAAATGTGGCTGGCTACGCGACACTGGTTGTCAAAACTTCGGCCCGTGAACATATAGAATCATCCAAAGGCACGCCTCGCGCTCGCGATCCAGCGGCCCGCAGTCCGGATCGCTCAACTGGGCTGGGCAGTCAGCCGAAGACGCCGCCGCAGCAGAGCGGCCAGTCAGGTCTGGCAGCCAGTGCCACACACCACCCGATGATGCTGGCAGGCCTCAAGACGGGCGGGGCACGGACAATGCCGGGGAGTGTATAGGCCCGCACAAAATATCTCGGGGAAAAGAATGCGCGGAATGTTCGACTTGGCAACTCATTAAATACTTTTTGCGGCCTCGGCCTTGGCAGTGTCGGCCGGGCAAAGCCGGCGATGTCTCGAGGAGGACGCCCCGCCGCAAAGCACTGCAAAGCACTTCCAGGCCAGTCCTTTCGAAGCGGAGACTAAATAGTTGGACCGCTAAGAGGAGGCTGTACTGTGACGAACCGCGAACACAAAGAGCTCAAAACGCGTCTAGTTTCGGCCACCTGCGCCGGTCTTCTGGGCCACTGTGCGGCGTTGATCCTGTCCTGATTGACACCGGCGGGAATCGATAACTCGCCGCTAGACTGCGGGATTAAAACGGGTCCACCCCGCGTGCAAACTGCGCACCCCGCGTCGAGTGATAAAACACGCGCCATTCGTTCTGTACACTGGTTTATGACGTCATTCGTCAATAGCGAGACTAATTAGCTTGCCATTGCCAATCCCGCTGTTTTCCTTCTTAATGCGCAACGCTTTGCCAGCTCGCTCTAATTAACTCGGAATAAAAAGGGAGGGAGGGGGAAAGTAATGAAACAGTAGAACCGCGTCACGAGTCCAGTTCCATTTTTTTTCCTGTGGCCGCGACATGCAGCGGCGCGGCGGCTCGTGACCCGACTACGGAGCGGCCTAATTTCGGTCGCTGCCGTCGGCACCGCCGCCAGCGAGCAGGCGGTATGACGGACGATCGGAATGACTCAAGTTTGGCTCTGCCGACACCTACTGCCGCCGCCCCGCCTCGCCCCGCCCCGCCCCTCTCGTCGTGACAAGGACAAAGGCGCTTCGCAGGGACATAAATATTTCCAGATGAAATGGTCTCTTTTCACGATATGGGTGTCCTGCGCGCCCCGAGCCGCACGAGAGAAAAAAGATGCGCTTTGCGAATCATAATGGCAGCGAGACGAGGTCCGAGTGACACAGTGGGCCAGAGGATCAGTAGAGGTGACCTAAATCCCGCTCGCTCGCGTAGGAGACTCACCGGCCGGCTTCGTCTACGCCACTGGACAGCAGGCCGCCAACCTGAAACACACACCACATTTCCATGATCGATTTGCCCACATTTGTATTTTAACGCCGGCACGTTTTCTTGATCCCCCCGCGGCGCCCGCCTTTGGAGCTCGCCGCTGCCACCGCCGCCGTCTTCGCCCCAGACTCGGGCAAGTAAACGCCGGACCACGCAGATAAATAAAACAAAGTGGCCATCTGTCTGGCCTGGCGCTGCGTGGCGCTGCCTTGCCTGCTGGTGTACGAAGGCTCTCCGGCGCGACGCTGGTATACCGCCGCTATCACAGTGTCGGGTCAATCAACCCGCCACATGCACCCCGGAAAAAAAGACGCGTCTGCAAATTTCGCTCCGTTTCTTCAGAGTTTGTCCCCCTCCACCGGTCTTCTGGCCCACTGTGCGGTGGCGGTGGCCACCCCGGCTCCCCCGGCAATCCCCACAGGAATCCGACTTGAGACGGTCAAGTAGTATTCCGCTCCGTATAATTTTGTTGTTCTGCGAGAGGGCAGCCGTTTTGAATTCCACGATCATTTCCAGCTGGGCTGGTTTTCTTAACCTGGATCACAGGGCAGCCAGACAGCCAGCCAGAGACAGACTGCAGACAGACAGACAGACAGACAGACAGGCGGACAGACGTGTGTGAAAAAGGCGGGGGTCGATGACGCGTCATCATCCGGCCAACCCGCACACGGTCATACCCAACTTTGGCCATTCCCGAGCTGGCTGCTGGCTGCGCCTCGATGTGCGCTGCAATGATGGACCTGGCGTCGCCGCGGGGCACAGCGGCACGGCACTGCCAAGCACAGCGCAAAAGCACAGCGCCGGACGTCCCTGGGTAATAACCACGCCTTTATACACATTGTCCGCAGCCGGTTTCCCCTCGATCTGTTCCGCTCACGCAAACAGAAACAAAACGACGAAAGAGAGAAAAGGCATGGGGGGAAGAAAAGTCACTTTCGGAAATGGTCATGACGACGGCGGGAATCCGTTTCCCCTCGTCGTGTTATGGTGCGCGGGGCGAGGAGGAAGCTCTAGCTCAAGTTAAGTATGTAACACCCCCTCCACTGCTGCGATTACATGTAATGTTGCCCCACAAAGTAATTACAGTACGGAGACGGACAGAGAGAGAGAGAGAGAGAGGCCCCGGGGTCTGCGTGTAATGACCTGCGAGCTACTTTCACTGCTCACGTTTCACTCCCACCTTCCGGCGCACGTTACCGACGAAAAATCTGCTTTTAATTGTAACTTTGCCCAGCCAGCCAGGCCGCACACGCCGCACGGGCGCCACGCGCGGAACACTCCACCGTCGCCAAACATGAATTATGGATCACACGCCTGACTGGGAAGAGCGCGCGGGAGAGAGGGGGTGAGACAGAGACAGGGGGAGGGGGCGACTCTCCCTGGCCGGCCTACCTTCCTGATTGATACCAAAGTGAGTGGGGGTGGTGCATGTCGCTTCGCACGTCCGACGGATGGGCCTCACAGCGCAGCTGACCTGGAAAAGGGGGCGGCGGCTAGGGCCGGGGCCTTTTTCCATTACGTAAGCAAAGTGTGGGGATCGCGTGGACAGGGGAAGGGACGTTGTTTCAAACCATAACAACAACAACATGCGCCTCGAACCGGCTGCACGTGTCAATTTTTGCTTCGCATGTGTTTGTGTGCGTGTGTGTATGTGTGTGTGTGCGCGCGCATGATCATGTTCTCCTCTCCTGGGCAATGTAAGACGTACGCTGAGTGAGACTTTATCGTTCACGCGACACGTGGGGGGTTCAGAACTCAAAGGGATCGTGTGTCGCGGCGGACTCACCGATCTTCCAGTCGAGGGTGACGCTCCCCCCCTCCCTTTTCTCCCGATCCCCAAAGGACGCCCCCGTTCCCGCCCACACAGACGCACACAGACACGCAGCTCCTTCATGGATACGCCCGTGAGTCTTTGTCGTCTGCCTCCAACACCCAACCGGGATACACCCTCGGATAAAGGGAACGCCAGGGGAAAACTTGATTCTCAAGTTTATACAGCACCTGGCCACTTTCACAAGTCGTTGATGCTCCTTCTCCTCCCCCCACTACTTCAACTTCCTCTTCTTCTTCTCCTCCGTCTGGAAATGCAGATGCACTCGGAGCCCCTGCGGAGACCAGGGTAGGCCGTCCCGCCTTACGGTGGCGTGCCGCGGGCTGGCCCACCCTGGACCGCGCAGGCGCTACCGTTTGGCGCTTGTTGGCGCTTCGCGTCCGTCGTCCGTTCCGACCGAGTCGTTTGTCACCTCCGCGTCGCGTCGCGTGTCACGGAGAGCAGCACCGCCTGACGGGCAGTGTGTGCGTCGCAGCGACAACGCGACGATTTGGCGCCCCGCCAGCGACGGATAAAATTTAACGAGAGTCCAGCGCGGACTGACTCCGAGAGTCGCTTTCGTCGCTCTGTCTCTGTCGCACTCGTGCGGCGTCCCGTGAAGGTTCGAGAGAGATAGAGCGACGAAAAGAGACCCTCGGAATCAGTGCACAGCCCCGGACCTGACGGACGGCACAGCGCACAGCGGGCGAGAGATTGCGCAGAGTCACTCTGTCTCTCTCGCACCCACGTCACGCCCGGAGGGTACGATAGAGACAGGAAGCAACTCTTGGGAAATCGGCCTGCAAGCGATGGGTGCGGAGAAAGTTGGTGCACTGCAAAAGGGGGAAGTGTCTATCTAAGGTGTCTATTTTGATCAACCGCCCGACAAGGCGCGGAGGAGCAGAAACAGCGCCTTGTCGTACAGGCGGGGCCGAAATTAAAACAAGCAAAAAGAAGGCAGCGGCCGTCCCCGAGACGGGGATGAATTAATGAGGACGATTCGCGCGACAAATGAGTTTTGGAGTTGAGTAATCCCGGCCCTTTCTTTGGCTTCTTGAAAAACGCGGAGAGGGAGGAGGTGACTACTGCGTTAGGGCCTTGACTCGCAGCAGAGTGGCGCAGCGAAGGGTTTCACTCCCCGTCCGCTTAAGCAAAGCATCAGCGGCCCAGAAAAACAAAAAAACACTTGCCACACGACGCTGGTCGGCTGCGACTCTGATTGGGTGGGTTTCCTCAGGGCGACGTAATGCCCAGCCATTCCGAGCAGTTTGTTGCCGTGCGCTGCTCTCGGCTGGGCTGCTTGGGGTGCCCCGCCTGAATCAGCCCCGCATTTCCATTTAGCGTTGTCGCTATCAACGAGCCCGCCCGGCTCGGCTCGCACAGTGGGCCAGAAGACCGGTGAAGGCGGCAAAAATCCCGGACGCGTTTTGAGCCCCAGAGTCGCGAAATGAGACGCGAACCGAACATGTGATCCCACCAATGGATTGCTCTCCGAACGAGGAAATCCATTGGCGTGGTCACTCGCTCGATTCGAGTCCAGTTAAGCCACCCTGGAGCTCCCTAACGCGTCAAGAGTTTCGGCCGCCTGGGCCGGTCGTCTGGCCCACTGCGGCTCGGCTCGGCTCCCATTACGCATCAAAGTGTTTCGGCATCATCTTCGCGCACTGCCACTAAATCTCATCACCGCGACACTGAAAAAGTTTGTCAAAGGGAGGAGTGGGGGGGGGGGGAGTCGAGTTGGCGCTGCGGTCGCACATCTCATTCCGGAGACATTTTGCGATTCCGCTCCCGGCGTGCGTGAGGCGCGGTGACGACTTCACTGGAAAACACACACACACACACACACACACACACACACGCGCGCGCGCGGTCGGCGTACCGCCGCCAAGTGACGCACGTTGTCGTGAGAGAGACTTTCCAGAAAAGGTGTTTGTGAATGGGGACCAACCAACACTTCTCGCTTCTACGCTTGAGGCGCGCTGTCACCATCTTCCTTTTCACACACACACACACACACACACGCTCACACACAGAGAGAGACGTGTAGTGCATCGTGCCGTTGGATCGACGCTTTGAGCGGAAGGAGGCACTCCTCCACGCCCCTCCGACACCGCCTTCCCCCGTGCGGTGCCACGGATACCCGAGGCGGGCAGCCAGGGCAGGCAGCCAAAGGCAGGCAGCCGTGAGGCAGGCAGCCAAGGCCCCGCAGCAGCAGCAGGAGGAGATTGTTGTCTCGTCACCTAGGCGCTTACTCAAACCTCGACCAATTCACCCTGTCAACACAACGCACCGCGTTATCGACGGGGGCGTGCTGCCAGTGGTGCACCCCGCCCCGCCCCGCCCCGCCAAGCAGCGCGCCCTTCAACTGATGGCTAATGACGTGGACTTGGCGGGGCGGGCCTTGCTGGTGGCTCGAGGGGCGCACGCCAAACTACAATCGATCAGGATGATAATTGGAGTTGCTGTGAGACGCATGTGCTCCGTTTTCGTTGAGTCTTCATCATCGCCCTTCAAAGCCTTCACCATGCTCTGTTTCTGTTTTTTTTTTCAGGGGAAAGGGGGGGGTGGATTAGTTTTTTCGTGCTTTTCTTATACCTTTTGTATTTTTTAAACCCTGTTGCATTATACTCTTTCTATGACTTACGAACTTTTGTTGGTGTTTGTTCTTTCTGTGTGATTTTTGCTTCGCGCGTAGTGTTTTGCGGCCGGTTAGTCGCAGATGGAACAAAAATAACGTTTATGTTAACAAGGGCTCTTTTCTTTCCCCCGGGGGAAGAGTATTCGCGCGCTCGTCTCCTCCTCGGCGAGTTCATAAACTCGGCGGCAAGTGAGTGTTGCCCTCTTGCAGAGCTCCGCATTTGCATACCCATTTCTTGCCCCACTGCTGGAAGAGTGGAAAACCCCGGCCAACTTAAGGCCCATTTCGCGGCCACGAATTTTGCACAGAGTTGTCGGCAGTGCGCGCTGCCCCCGGTGGCTGCATGCTCTGCCCGCCTCACAGTGGGCCAGAAGACCGGCGGAGGCGGTCGGTTTTCTAGCCCACTGTGCGCTTGTCCGCTGTTGCTGCTTGGAGCGCTCGTTTGCAGCCTGGTGGAGCAGCGTGGCATATCGGGCGCCCAAAAGTGGCCAGCATTCCTATGCTGCTCTGCCGAGCTCTGCTGTCTCGGCATGAGGCGGTGAGGCGAG